GGGGGGGAGATGTGTGAGGATGGGGTGGGTAGGATGGAGGCTGTATGCGTTTGTGTGTGCATGTGGGGTTTGTGGGCTTGTGTGTGCATATGTGAGAGTGTTGAGGACATGAGAGAGCGTGTTGGGGAGCGGCGTGCACACGTGGGCTAGAGGTGTCGGTGCAGGTGGGGTGTAATGTCTGCAGCTGTATGTTTAGATGTTTAGCCCACAACCCACAAGAGATGCTTTTGGGAAACTGGGAAGATGGTGCTGGAGCCAGACGAAATTGCAGTGAAGCCCCAGGCAGATGGAAAGCCGTGCAGCCTGGAGCACACGGTTGCAGAGGCAAACGGTCCTGCAGAGGCCCCACCAGCTTCAGCTTATATCAGCTGGCGCCGATGTAAGGACGAGGTTAAACTGAGCTCATCTTACACAGGTTTAAAAACCACCCTGGGCGTGGCCTGGCGAGCATGTGACCTGCAAATACATCATCCCAGCAATAACATGGAACGGCTAACAAGCGGTTCCCACCACTTCGAGACCACAGACACCTTGAACCCGAGCTCAAATGGGCACCGGTTAGCCAAACTCCTCCAGCCAACAGCTTTATTCGGAACAAACTCCGTTACGTCGACATCTGAGGAGTTCTCACAGGCTCTCCCCAGCTTGGAGGGCTGTTTGGAGGACTTCGGAACCCGAAGTGTGGCCACAAGAGCCACGGCCGCCTGCGTGGTTTGTGGTCTTGGTGCCCTGTCTATGCCTCACGCTACACCCTGCCTTCCCAACACAACCTCCTGAAATCCCTCCCGAACTGTGAGCTACCGTGAACCTTCCCCAACTCGGGCGCTTCTGCCAGGTGTGTTGATCACTGGGATGCCACTGAACATTCTTTCAAAACTTACAAAAAGTTCCCCTGGAGTCACAGTTCTCAACTTGGTTGGGAACTCCACTAGCTCGAACATGGAGCTACTACAGTAAACTGCCAGAGCAGAGTAAAAGGGCACAGATGCCCTTCTACCCAGGGCCCTGGCGATTCCCAGCCCAAATTCCTAGCAGCTTCCTCTTGGATGAGCCCATTAGCAGGTCTAACAACGTGGCTGTGGTTTTGGTCTCCTCGTTGCCAGCACACGCTGCCAAGAGCTCACTTGGCACCAAGGCTTCATAGGTGGAAAGCCCCTGGTGAGCATCCCCAAGGCCAAGACCACCACAGAAAAGCTGCCTAAGGGAATCTAGCTGACCACTAAGATACAAGGAAGGAACAGGGAGCCACCATGCTGTTTCACTGGGGAATGCTCCACCAGGGGTCCTCACTTGAGGGCCCGCCTCAGAGTGGGATGATGTCAGCCCAGATCTTGGAGGCTACCTAGGACACTCACCAGTTACTGTTTGCAGAAGCTGTGATTCAGGCGCATTTCACTGTGTGCCTGGGGCCCAGGTACCATGGAATGCCAATCATGGGAAATTAGCAAGGCCAGAGCTCTCATGTCAAGAAAAATGCCAGCCACCACTTAACGACGAGAGCAAGTGAAGGCGCTGGAACCCTCAAGCATGCCGCCAATAGACAGAGGCACATTTTAAAGCATGTGAATCTTGCCTTCCCCCACACTGACGTCATCAGAACGCAAACATCACCCAATGAGCACCAATCCCCAGTTCTGCAGAAGCCATAGCCAGACTCATTATGGGATCACTGTTAAAATTACAGGTCTTGTGCACTCTTTGAGTATAGTTCAGTCCAGACTACAAGCTCTCCAGCCTTAGAAAGGGGAAGGGCCCTTCTTTCCCATACTTTGATGTAATCCTAGGCAGATGGGGGCTCATGGGAGAAGACTCAGCGAAAAACAAGGCATCCTGGCTCTATGGGGAGACCTAAAGATTAGGGATGGGGGTGAGTAGAGGGGACACAGCACCCAGAGGCTGGACAGATCCATAACACAACAGGTTCTCAGACTTTCTCCCTAAACAGGCTCTGAAGTCAGGAGTCAGCTCTTTGTTTACATTTTATCTGCTTGGCTCATTCTGCACTTGAAAGCCAGAATCAAGCCCAGGCGCTAGGCTGAGTGACTAAACACCATGAACTCCAGTCATGCAGGAACTGAGAGGGGAAATGGTGGTGAAGCAGAGGTGTCCTCCTAGGGGACGCTGTTGCTGTTCATGAAATCAGTTTCCAGTGCTGCAGACAGATTTCTCTAGGGGGCACCAGAGACTGAGCACTGCCAATGCTGGCATCCAGCATGAGGAAAACACAAAACAGAAAAACCACGCCTTGTTTTGTTTTGTCTTGGTTTTCTTGAGAAAAGGTCTCTCTATGGAGCTTTGTCTGTCTGTCTTGTAGACTATGTAGACAGATTAGGGGGGCCTCAAAGTCACAGAGATCCTCCTGCCTCTGTTTCCTGATTGCCAGAATGAAAGGTATGCACCTTTCTACCTAAAAGATTGATTTGCACTTTGGGTATTTAAAAAGAAATGAATTACCTGTCTTTTCTGGATTCTTAGGATTTATTCTCTATGGCCTACATGGCATGTGCATAGTTCTTTATCTTCTGGTAAGAGCCTTTACCCTGTGTCCACCGCAGGGCCTGCTGGTCTCTGAGAGCCCCGGGAACACACTGACTACCTCTCACAGCCTAGCTCAGCGATCTCTAACTCTAACTGCCAGCCATTTAGACACCGAAATGTTCACCTTTCTCAAGCAGGTACAGACAGTAGCTGTAAGCCTCTAGTATCCTTTCCCAGTCCTGTGACAAACACTTGAAAGACACTATTGGAAGGACGTAAGGTTCACGTTAGCTGCTGGTTTCTGATGTCTCCATCCATTGCTGGTTGGGGTCCCTTGTGTAAGAGAACAGGAAGAATATCATAGCCTGGGGTGTGTGTGGCAAAGCTGCTCACCCCATGGTATCCAGGAAGCATAAAGAAACAGACAAGAAAAAGCTAGGGCAAGCTTCATCCTTCAAAGATGTGCTTCATTGACCTGCTTCCTCCAACCAGGCTCCACCCTCCTAAGTATCCGTTTCTCAAAGTTTTGTCCCAAACTTTTGAATCCATCAAGGCATGAATGAAAGCATCAATGAGGTCAGTCCTAGCTCCTCCTCTTATGCAGAAGGCTCTCCTTCTCCCTGTCAGGATCCATAGCACATCCTATGTACATAATAAGAATGGTCAGATGTGCCAGTGGGCCATCTTGCTCAGTCACACACCCAACATCAACACTCATCCTGAAAACACTGATTGATCAAATGGGGTTTGGTTGAATTCAGTTGACTCTACCCATGAGATACCACACAGAGGTAAGCACTCCTCTTCCTCCTTCGTCACCGACATGAACCCCAATACCCATTTGCTCTGTGTCGCCAGCACCCAGGACCCAGGACATCCTGGAAATGTATCTTTTGGTTTGAAACCTGTCTGTAGGTCCATGGCGTGGGCAGCTTAGCCATCCTTCCCTGCTAAGCCCCCATCAGCAAGTGCCGTGGCATCACACAGGCTACTGCATACTCACTGACTAGACTGTGTCCTCTCCAGAAGGTGCTGGACTCTGGGTGTCCCCCATGCAGCTCTGTCCCTATATTCAGTCCAAGCCTCTGTCTGAGTACAGACACCAAGAGTGGGTGTTGTTCAGCTAGGTGGGTAGAGGCAGGATGACAGAAGCACCTGTTGGTTAGCAATGCACAGCCTGATGTCCTCACAAAAGGAGGGCCTTACCTACCTCAGAGAAGACTGGCAGGCAGGACCCTAGCTGGTGAGTGCCAGAGGGTTGCGTTGTTTGTACCATCCGTGTCTGGGAACTCTGAGGCCTACCTGTCACGAGGAAGTCTGCAGATTCCTCTGGAAATGAGACCTCCCTTCCTGGGATCTCTTTGTGCCGTAGCCTAGGAGACCCTGCAAGTGTTTATTCACAACAAAACAGATGAGTTTCTCAAATATTTAGTATTTTGCCGTCCCCAAAGATACTGACCAAATTCCTCCCTCAGCTAAGGCTTTGCTACTACTTCTAGCGTCCATGGCTGCCTGAGTGGTGAATCCCAGTGGGAGCGAGAGGACTCATCTGATACTTATTTCAGAGCCAGAGATGCTTATGATCAGCCCATTGAGACACCAGCCTCGCTGACTATTAACTGTTAATGTAGTTCAGGTACAAGAACGTTCAGGAACTTTAATTCAGAACATGGTTGCTCTGGATAGAGATCACATCCAAAGACCCTCTTCTAGGCCTGTGTGATCTGGCTGTTTTAAATCCTTGAGCAGTTCTGAAGTCCCAAGACATACACAAAACTGCCTTCTCTACAATCACCATGTCTCCCAACGCACAGGTGCTGGGCCTACAGTGGCCTTTCCAGTGAATGTCAACCAGGGCTTTGTCACCTGGTTGGAAAGAATGTTGGAGACAGAGACGAATTTCAAGTTCTAGAAAATCTGATTTGTTCACGTCTCATTCCGGAATGATAGGTAGGAAATGCTTTCTGTTCCATCATCTGCCTTGTTCCTCTTCCGTCACACACAGCAGCACGAGAGCCGCCCCGAGTAGGCCTTGTCAGTGCTGGGCCAGTGACTGGGCTCTGGTTTTCGTTTCTCTCCCTGATCTGTTTTCCTGGCTCCTCTCACTCCTCCTGGCCATCATTATCCTCCAAGGTCCAAGGCCTCTGTGGTCTGCCTCTGCACGCATGCACAGCTGTGCTCTTCCTGTGTGATCTGTGTTTCGCTCTGATAGGAGCATCCGACACTGTCATCTCTCCTGTGAATCCCAGCCTCACTATTGGTAATGTCCATGCAAAACACCACCACCACCAACAACAACAACAACCTAAGTGTCAGTTACACCTCAGAATTAACAAACCTAGTGCCAGGATGTTGGTGTCTTAGCCATGAGTCAGACATTCTCCAGGTAAGGAAGTGACCGTTCTTTCTTAGGGTCAGCCTTCTGAAGTTCTCTTGGCTCTCTTTTTCTACATCACCATATCCAAGCAGGCTGTATCTAGAGAGTGCACCCCATATCTGACCACTTCTTTGACCCCTCACTGGATACGCTGCACTCATTAATGCAGTAACTAAATGTCTTCCTAACCTTTCTTCTCTTACCCTGGTGCTGACCCTGTCTCCTTGTCTCTCCTGTTTTATTGCTAGTGACATCAATTGCCCACTGACTCATTTCACACTGTTTGTGGAAAGGGGAAATTTCTCCAGAGTGGAATTTTACTGTTTTGCCAAAGCTTTGCTGGCTGTCTCTAAGACAATGTTAATTAAACACCTGTCAAGCGAAGAAATGTCATCATAATCTGTTCATTCGGTACAGCCTTATGTGACATGTGAACCTGTTTTGCATTCTCTGCATTAAGGATGGACTCGGAGAAAACAGGATTACATCTCAGAGGGGCCACTGTCTATGAACCTGGGCTGTGGAGGAGAGCCAGAGTGGAGCAGGATGGAAGATGGCAGGAAGGGGGAAGGAAACCAGGGAGAAACAGGAGAGGTCCTAGGTAGGAAGGTCTTCCAAAGCAGGAAGATCAGGCACTGGGGGTCCCCATCAACAGAGTGTGAGCAAAGCCCACATCTCCCATGTCCACCACCAATGCCCTCAGACTTCCCTCTCCTAAGGATGCCATGCCATTCTCAGAATGTCACGCAGGGACTAAAGGAGACGAGGATTTGCATGCATGAAACATCTTAGGCTACGAGTATACCTTCTGCATGATACAGGGAAATCTCTCTTGCCCCTGTGTCGTATTTTAAATATCTCCACCTCCATCATGGATAGCCTCTTCAGGCATGAGCTGGAGATGAGGAAAACGCACTGAAAAGAATTATTCTCCAAGGGATAACGTGCTCTGTGCAGGAGCACGAAGGCGTTCGAACCATCCACCACCCATGACAAAGGACTGAGAGGAAAAAAGTGTGAGTGGAAGAATGGCAGTTCTGCCACTGATAGAGATGTTCAAGAGGAATGAAAGGATGCCACCAGGATGATGAGGATGGTGTCTGTAGAATGGGCATGTTTCATGTAACACACATGCCATATCTGACCCCGTCATGGTTACAGCATGAGCACCTGGCAGTTTCTATGCATGAATTATGTTTGGCTTCATCACAGTGATCACTGTGTTTCCGGCACACCTTTTGAAAACCTTCCAATGTCCTCTAACACACACAGTCCCTGACATGGCAACCACATGCGTGCCTGCGCGCGCATATATGTATTGTGTGCGTATGCGCATGTTTGTGATTCATGTGAGTCTCTAGAAAACATACCTAGGCAGGAAGTAGGTCCATAAAACAGTTGCACTTTTGTTTAGAAAAGCCCCCGGGGGGCTGGAGCGACGGCTTAGGCATTAAAGGCTAGGCTCACAACCATAAATATAAGAGCAGCCCCCAGGAAATTTCAAGAGGCACAAACTGTGGGGTGGCTCACCACTCTGTTAAGCTTTGTTCAGTTGAGCTTTTGTATCCATTTGTCAAATTTGTGGTGTTAGATGTTCACTGAACCAATTATTTTTTTGATATAATTTTTATTTTTTATATTAATTACAGTTTATTTACTTTTTGTGTCCCAGCTGTAGCCCCCTCCCTCATTCCCTCCCAATCCCACCCTCCCTCCCTCATCTCTTCCCTGCCCCTCTCTAAGTCTACTGATAGGGGAGTTCTCCTCCCCTCCCATCTGACCCTAGCTTATCAGGTCTCACCAGGGCTGGCTGCAATGTCCTCCTCTGTGGCCTAGGAAGGCTGCTCCTCTCACAGGGGGCTGGGGAGGTCAAAGAGCTAGCCATAGAGTTGATGCCAGAGACAGTCCCTGTTCCCCTTCCTAGGGAACTCACTAGGATACTGAGCTGCCATGGGCTACGTCCGAGCAGGGGTTCTAGGTTATCTCCATGCATGGTCCCTGGTTGGAGAATCAGTCTCAGACAAGCCCCTGTGCCCAGATATATTTGGTCCTTGTGGAGCTCCTGTTCTCTCCAGGTCTTACTCTGTTTTCTTTCATATGATTCCCTGCACTCTGCCCAAAGTTTGGTGATGAGCCTCAGCATCTGCTTTGATACACTGCTATGCAGAGTCTTTCAGAGGCCCTCTATAGTTGGCTCTTATCCTGCTTCTCATTTTCTCCTACTTCCAATGTCCATCCTATTTGTCTTTCTTCTTCCAATTATTAAACACAAGAACAAAAATTAAGGTAAACCTATTCTAGAAAAATTTGTTGTTTCATTTATATCTGTAATTAAATTTAACATATATTTTCATGTATTGTGTGTGTGTGTGTGTGTGTGTGTGTGTGTGGAGAGAGAGAGAGAGAGGAGGTTGACATCGGGTGTCTTTGGTTGCTATTAACCTTTTGAAACCAAGATTTTCAGTGGACCTGGCACTCATGCGCCTGGCTAGCCATTGACTCCACAGATCTTTCTTCCTCTGCCTTCCTGGTGCTGGCATTACAAACACACCTTATCATTCCCTGATTTTTTTTTTTAACCTGAGTGGTGGGCGCTCAAACTGGTGTCCTCACATGTGGTAAGGAAAGTACTGACTGAGCCATTTCCCCAACCCCAGTACCTAGCTGTTGTTTTCTTTTTGTAGTGTTGGGGACTGATCATGTGACCTTGTGTTTACAAAGCTGACACACCAGCACTAAGATATGTTGCTATCCCTTCGCATTTAGCTTTAATCTCTATGAGTAGAAAAAAAAAATGGACTGGATATTTATGAAATTGAGAAAAATACATAAAAAACTATAGATGATCTTCAGAATGTCCACATATTGCCGAAACTGTTGTGAAGAATTGAGTCTATCTCCTGAGTGCTGCCACGTGGGACGCCTCCGCTGATGCCCTTCTTGGTCACCTCACATTTCTGTTCTCATTTTTCCTCCTTCATCTTCTTCATCTTCTTCTCCCTGGCTTTTCCCTTTTGCAGCAAACACTTTGCAAACAGCCCTGTATTCCAGGTGTTCAACAATCCCATAAGCCACCATGGCCACACTCAAGACACTGAAGAGAATGTAGAGTTTGGTGTTCACACACAGAAATGAGCTGTACCCAAAGGCAATGACAAACCCCAGGGCTTCCCCAAGGCGGTAGTTGGCAAAAGCAGCTTCTTTGTTCTCTTCAAACAGGACGCCATAAAGAGCTGTGGAGGAGAGACTAGAGTGAAAATGCTGTGCAAGACTTAAACAGAGCTGGGGAGTTGGCTCTGTGGGTTAAGTACGCGGGTGCAAGCACGAGTTTGGACTCCCAGGGTCCAAGGTAATCCCAGTGCTGAGAGACAGAAGGGGGAATATTTCCAGGGTTCCCTGCCCAGCTGATCCAGCTGAATCAGAGAATCTGTCTCAGAAAATAAGATGGAGGATGACTAAGACAGCGTAGACCCCTGATTTCCACATGCATGCATACACATGTGAATGCACATACATGTACCCAGGGCACGGACACCACATACATACACAAAACACATCCACATACATATAGCACCCATAGATAGATGCACAGACGTACACAAAGACCTCAAACATAGCCCATTATAATCCTGAACATAGTTTGGCCATTGCCAGTTTTTTTTTTTTCTTGAAAAGGAAAATCGGGATATTTTTCTTCTTCTAAAAAAAAAAAAAAAAAAAGGTAAAAATAACAGCACAGAATTATGCCGACAAGTCAGCTGATGTCCTCTGGCAGCGGGCAGCATAGAAACATGGGAGTCACAGGCCATCAGCTGCTGGAGGGAGTGGCCGGTCCTCACTCTGAGGATGAAGAAAGGTGAGCAAAGAATTCAGTATGCGTTGTGGAGTTGGTGACCTCCTGAGCCAGATTTGAGAGTTCCGTGAGAAGGGGGTTGAGGGAAGGATTTTTAAGGGGGGAAACCAAAAGAAGACTTTCAGCATGTACTCAAATAAGCCAAAACTGGTCTGTTCTGCCAAGTGGTTAAGGCATCACAGCGTTAGATGGGCTGGAACTCCTCTTCAGTCCCCAGGACTACAGAGAAATGAGTTTAGTGCCCAGCCTGTAGGGGGGGGGTTGTTTTGTTTTGTTTTGTTTGTTTTGTCACAGCAACTCACACAGCCTGATAACTGCTACAGACAAAGTGAGTCACTTTTGCTTCCCTTGCAGGGAGGGGGCATTTTTGATGGGTCTCCATGGGAGCTGCAAGAATCCCACTGTACCACATGGCAGAGTGGCAGGTGCGTCTGGGAAGGAAACTCTGAGACAATGGCAGGCCCTGGTGATTCCCCATGCTCTGTCCCTGCCTCAGATTGCTGTGTCAGCCCAGCCAGCTCCTACTCAAACAACTCCCCTCCTCACCAAGACCAACCTCAGGCCCTGCATTGCCTCTAGAAACTTTGCTTGACTTCCCACTATGGGCCCGGGATGCAAGACCCTCAGATGGAGGACCTGGAATAGAGAGTGCCAGGAGGGAGTGCCCTGGAATTGATGACTGTGGGTAGAAAGGTCCAACGTGGAGGATCCAGTGCCCAGGGTAGAGATGTTGGAGAGTAAGAACTCTATCACTGATAACTGTGGTGACTCAGAATGATCCATCTAGCAGCTGGACCAGCAGAAATGGCCCTGTCCCTTCCTCTCTGCCAACACAGTGCCATCAGCTGAAGCTACATCCCAGACATCCAGAGAATCTAAGGATGTGGATGCATCACCACAGCTGCCTTTCCAGAAGTCTCATGGCCCTGGGCAGAGCAACCACCTTCCCTTCAGGAATGCCTGTTAATCAAGCAAGCCCCAAGGGAGAGATGTCTGCAGCAGCTAAACCTAGACAGAAAGGGGAGGAGATGTGATGTCCATTTGTCCACATTGCTATCAACTAGACAGACAAGAGGATGGGAGGCACGTGAGAAAACAGGCATCCACACCAGCAGTATCTAGATGGATGAGTGAGGGGGCATGGCAAGCATGTGACTGTCTCTCTATTAACTACACAGACATGGAGGTCAAGTGCAAGGCAGGACCCAACAGGGGATCCTAGAGCCGGAAATGAAGGCTTGTGGTAAACTGGAGAAATCTTAGGATATCTGCCCTTTGTGAGCCAAAGTGAACCCGTGTCCTGATAGCACCTTCCTTTCTCTGATAATGAAGGGTGGTTAGCAGTGGGAGACTGGATACTGGTCTCTGCAGACTTGGTACTGTCTCTGCAGCTTGTCTATAAACATAAAACTGTTGTGAACTAACCTGTTTGCTTACAAAGAGATTTGTTTTGCTCTCAGACTCAGCCTGACCTGTCTGCCTCATCTGCTCAGGGCACTCAGGGTTGAAGTGACTGAGACGCCAATTCTAGTCCTTAGATGAGGTGATGTGATCAGCAAACAGGCATCTCGGCCGTTGGGAAAGCAGGTTAAACAAATGGGGCACTCAGACGAAGCCAGACTTCATGCACTTATGAACTTGAAAATAGCCCCTTCAAGCAGCTAACAGGGCAAAGCGTATTTTTAGATGAAACATTCTGTGTCTTAAATGCAGTTCAGTGTGGCATGTGAGGGTTGCCATAGCAACTGCATCCATCCTCCCTCAGCTGTCAGACTGAATGAGTACATAGTCAGATTCGCTGCTGGGAGACTGAAGAAATTCCCAGAGCCCTCGGGGTTACCCAGCCCCAGCAAGAGGAGCAAGCGTCTAAGTCCTGTGACACATTGTTAAACTGAGGGTGGGCAAAAAATGGTGACTCAGCGAGAGGTGGGCTGAGCTTCATTCCGTTCTGTGAATTAGAAGAGAGCATATTGCCACATCTGTCCTCTGTGTGTTTATATGCACGCATGTGCAATCGGAGGCTAGAGGAGGGTGTTGAGCATCCTGCTCTAAAACTCCCAACCTCATTCCCTTGAGACAGGGCCTCTCCCTAGAACCTGAGCTTTCTGTTTCTCTGCTAGCGTGTCCTCGCCAGCAATCCTCAGCAATCCTCCTGTCTCCGCTGTGCTGGGTTACAAGTTCTGTCTTGGGGATCTAATGCCCTCCGATGACTCAGGTCAGCAGCAAGTGCTCTCCCCCACTATGCCATCTCCCCAGCTCCACACAGCCCTGTTCTTGAGATGCGGCCAAAGCTACATACAACTTTCCATGTTGAAAAGGAGCCACCAGCCATCTGGATGTCCTGGGGATGTGCTGTGCTGGGGGGATCTGGGGGGAGCCAGCTGCAGAGACTCAGCACCCAAACAGCACACTCCTCACTGGGGTGTCTGCAAGCACATGCTTTCAAAGAAAACTGCCTCCTGAGAAACTGGTTTATCTTCTAACAACAAAGACAACAAAAATTGCACTCTTACCTGTACAAAAAGATTAAATTTCTTTCATTTTAAATTACCAGACTTTATTCAACAGAGTCTTTGTTCAGGTCACTCACTGGACTTGAGAGCTCATGACATACAATGTTGGGTCTTAGGTAATTTGCAGAGTTTAACCAAAGTGCTCTGAGTATTTCATGCCCATATAAAGAAAGGGAATGTCAAAGCAATTGTCCGTATATGTCAGAGAGAAAGAAAACAAAGTGTTTTGCTGCCATAACTTTAAACCTCTACAGTGCTAGAATTGGAGATAAAGCAGGCTGTCTTTCCAGGTGCTTTCCTTGCTTCCTTAAATGCTTTTGAAAATTCAGTGAGCTCACAAAGTTGTCAGCATGCAGAGAGTGAGACTCCATGGGTATTTCATGGAATTCTCTCAGGCCTGTGTGGGGTTTGATGAAATTTCTCTCTGGCGCTGACTAGATAAGTTGTCTAAAATTCCTAGGTGATCTGTCATGGCTTATAGCTCTGGACTTCCATGAAACGCTAAAGTGAGTTTCTGGTTACCCCTTCCCCACACACTCCCACACACATACGCCCCCCACCCTGATCCCATATATTCCTATGAGCAGGAGTGCATCACAGCCCATGAAAAGTCTAGCCGTTTGTTCCTATTTACTGGCTTTTGTCAAAAACAAACAAGCAAGCAAAAGAATAAATGAAAGCACCAAACATACGCTTGCCATTTGGTTGAGCTTCCAACTGTGCTATGGACCCAGCTAGGCCTTTTATACCCAGCCCTTTTAGGTTTATCTAGGGCATTGTTTTTTTCAGCTCTTGTAAACAGACAGCACGTTGGGATTCCAGCTGGGACCAGCTCTGGAGGATGTGGTCTGCCATCTGCAGTGGCATGCTGTGATTATGTGCAGATACACAGGAATGGCTTGGCCTTGCAGCTCTGGCAATCCTGGCCTTAAGCTGTTGCGGTTTTTTTTTTTAGCCAATACCTAAGACTGAATGTGTCCTGAGTATAGACGGGATGGTGCTATAGCAAGAAAAGGGTCATTTATGAACCACACTCATCTTAGGGCTCCCTTGGGGTCACCAATATTTTCCAGACACAGCCCTTCCCTACCTTAGGCACAATCCAGGGCCTTGGGTGTTTGTGGGAGACTTAGGGCTGAGGGTTCCCACCTTGGCCTTATTACATCATTTACAACAACACCCCAATACACACCCTGTCACCTGTCCTGCACGGATATCATCCACACAGCATCCTGCATCCTTCTCAGCCTAGTGCCCTCCTTTGACACCTTCTGACTGTTCTCAGGGTAGAAGCAAAAGCCTCCAACCAATCCAGTGCGAATACCGTAGTGTTTCTCCAACCTTTTCACACCACCGACTCTCCCTGCTGACTCTTGAAGCCTTCCTGGTGCAGGCCCTAGGCCCAGTTCCCCATTCCATAGCCCTTTGGGACAGCACCTTTCCAAAGACATGCCATCATCCTATATCTAGCCATGGCCCTAACTTACTGATCCTCCTGACCTCCTGACCTCCTGACCTCCTGACCCCCTGGCCATGCATTCTAACTGAGCAAGGTCTTCCTTAGGTGGCTTCTACTATGACTTCTTTACATTCACTTCAACTTTCCATCACCAGTCAGTTCTCCAAGACCAAAGGTTCATGTTTCCTGTTTATGGATCTGTTTGGGCCATTGGACCTTCTCACATTTGTTTCGGATTCTGACTGTCCATCAGGAGAATTAACTTCTACCCACAGGTATTTTTCTCCTGTGTCCCTTTCTCCACCTTCTATGGCCTTGTGTCCTCAGGACACAGGGTAACATACATTCTAGTGTTCTGCGGCCCTTGTCTGGATGCTCTGTACACCCTCCTTGCCTTCACTTCCTCTGGTTCCTCATCTGTGCACACCTGTGAGCACTCCAGGGAAACAGCTTGTGCCTCGTGGAGCCCCTTGTCTCACCTGACCTGCCTACCTCACTCAAGCTCAGAGATGAGAATTCACTTCAGATCTAGAGCGTGGTCCTTGAGACCCGTCTGTCTCTCACCTCCCTTGGCTTTAGACCTGCCTTCCGCTGACAGCTTCTACTTCCCATACACAGAGAGATTCGCTTCCACCCTCATGGCTGCCTTCTGTCCCTGCTACCCTCAAGAGAGATGACTGAAGGAGATGGAGGCACTGTGAGCCTGTGCTGGGCACTCACCATTGTTCTGTGTTTGCCACACAGCATCTGCCATTCCCCACAGGCCAGAAAGGATAAAGAACACAGGCAGCTGGGACGTGGTCGGGCTCCACAGCAGGAGGACGATGATGCAAGAGAGCTGAGTGGCCGCACCTTGTCGGGGGTAAGGAGGGAACAAGACAGGGCAGAGGGTCAGGACTGAGATGGGCAGGGCCTCAGGTATCCTCTGTTGAGAATCACCATCCCATCCGCATCCATGTGCCTTTAGCATTTCTAATGCTCCCATGCAATGCTCAGAAACAGGATGAAAGAAAACTCTGGTGTGTGAGTATGTGACTGACTCCAAAAGAGGCCTCTGGACTGTGGAGACCCACACTGGAACATCTTATCGAGGCTGTGGGCTGTGGGACCCCAGCCCCTGTTGTGTGGCTTGTGGACCAGTAACTTTTTTCCCTACAGTGTGAGCTAGGCTCCTAACCAGTATGGAAATGAGAGTGAAGACCAGGAGAAACCTGAGCAGTGATATATCTGGGTTTGTTCCTTGGGGTGTAGCTTCTACGGCAGATCCCTGTGAGGGGGAAATGTGTATTCCCTTTTGTTGGAGGAGGGCAGGAGATGTCAGAGGGAGAGCAGCAGGGAGGCAGGAAAGCAAACCCACAGGGCTTCCTCTTCTAGGCTCCTCAGCAGCTCTCCCTACCCTGTAGGGGCATCTTCATTAGCACCCTGAGCCTATGCTCACTTGTGCGACGACTCACCCAGCACGTAGAGCACAGCTCTGCCTGTGTACTTGGAGATCTTCCCATACAGCAGGGAGCACAGGGAGGTGAAAGCCGAGAAGCAGATCATCACGTAGCCCACAAAGTGGATGCCCAGGGCACAGGTCACATAAGACTGGGGAGAAGCGGAGAGCTCCATTAGCTGTGCGTTTCTACCTCACTACGGTTCCTGTCAGAAGCTGCCACGTGACAGTTGGCATGCTGATGTGGCCCAGGACTTGTTGCTCCTAGCCAGGGAGAGCAACAGTGAATGGCAATGTGGGAGAGGGTCTGCTTTGGACCAGAATGGACAGGCATCTGGGAAAACCCCTTCGACACATTCTTTGCCACAGGTGTGGAACACACTATTTTTCACAAAGTTAACAAGGGCATTGGCAGGTCCCACCATTTCCTATTAGGTCTAAGGACCCTCCATAGATGGCGAGGGAGGCCACTGGGCAGCTTTGACACTTGGCCTCCCTTACTGGTAGAATCAAGAACACTTAAACGAAAGACTGGGAGCAGAATGTGGGCTGCATTCTGGCTGAGGCTGGAACGACATGACGTGTGATGAGGAGAGAGACACTTGCAAACCACCGAAATGTTCTTGATGTTCCCTTTTGAATCTGTTAAAATTGTCCTAAGAGTGGTGCCGCCGGCATCAGGCCTGGCTGCAAAGCACCACAGGGAGAGAAGTCAACCTGGTGCCTGCCTCAGAGCACGAGGGTGATGAAGAAGACGGGAGGATGAAGATGACGAGAAGACAACGACCTGGTACCTATCTGCAAACATCCTCAGAGCGTGAAGAGGAAGAGGGGAGGATGAAGATGATGAGAGCATACAGGACATGGATGGGATGAATGACTATAATGAGTCATTAAGCTCTCCCTTAAGCAGTCCCTCAGCTGCTGCCAGGAGATGATCTCCTTGGGTGTTCCCAGGCCATCAGTTTCCTTGAACCCCTGACAACGACCTATCGGCAAGCCAGCCTCACCTGAGCCTGAGCCGTCCCACTTTCCTGACTGATCAACTTCACTCTTTGGTTGGCAGGTGTGACCCCTTTCTAAACTTTCTTAATAAAGACACAAAACTGAGATCCCTCTCCAATAAAATGAGTGCTGCTGCCTCTGGACAGACCCAGGACACTCAAATATTGTACAAGGTACACTTGCCTGGAGGTAGTTGCAAGTTTATGGAAGTCCAGATTAGGGTGGGGGGCTACCATCTGTCCTGATAGTCTGGAGCACTACCTCTGGCTGAGAGTGAGGACGAGGTAGGAGATTTCCTAGTGTGTGGAGGGCCGAGGCTTAAATGTAAGACCAGGGGATACGGCAGTGATGCCAGCCTTGCCCCCTGTATCTGCACTAAGCCCAGTGTGCACTGGGAAAGAATCTCACACAGGAGGCAGAAGGATTCTGGGGGAAGCGGCCCTCTCCATCTTGCAGCATCGGGGTTCCCCATGAAAACAGATCCTGGGGACAGGCCCAGATAGAAGACAGCAGCTACGACTGCTTCGGCCACTAGAGGACGGCCCACTCTGTGTGTTTCCTGCTTCCTGTGTGGCCCCAGGTCAGGGGAATTGCACAGAAAAGCCAGGTAGTGTGTGAGCGAGAGAGATGAAGGTGGTAGGGCCACCCAGGTTTCTAGACTGAAAGACAGCATATGAAAAGTGGCATGGGAAGGAAGCTCAACACTACTCATGGATTTAACGCCTTCCCCTACGCTTAGCAACAGTGAGAATGCATGGTGAAACCGAGGTTGGCAGAATGAACAGGGGTGTTACACACGGCTGCTAACAGAGACCTTCCACCAGCTTTGTCCTTCGTCGGGAAGACACCTAGCTAGCAGGAAGTCCTTCCTTCGGGTAAGAACTCAGCACTTCTCAGAGATAGATGTCTCAAATCATAGACTCATCTACTGTGGGACCAGGGACACCATGGTCCTGGGACACCCTCAGGTCCCTTTAGGCAAAGCACAGGTGCACGAACCGTGGGCTTCTCTCCTACCCTTGTGTATTCTCCAGCGAGGAACCCTAGTTGGAGCCCACTGTATACTGGCAGAAGGATCAGGAGGCACAGACGCTTGTCTCTAAACAGCTTGAAGGTCGACAGCAATGTGGACCAGAAAGGTGGTGACTTGGTCCTTTTCTTTCCTTGTTTCTTTGGTTTTTCTGCCACGGGCTCAAGAAATATGGCTACCAGTAGGATGGCCAGGACACCGCTGCCTAGAAGGACACACAGACAGTTGTCGGTGCTACCGGGATCAGACACAAGTTCCACCCTCCTCATCTTCATGGACAACTAGCCGTCGGGGAACTAGTGACAAGCTGCCCTCGGTCACATATGTGTTAAGTCAACAGCGAACTTGTGGCTACTTTTTCCTTGAAGACTGTGTCAGTATTGCCATCACACACAGAGGAAAAGCATGCTTTTAAAAGGAATAAAAACAAAAGTCTCCCCAGACAGATGAGGAGAGGAAAGCAAAGCTTGTGTCATTTGAAGAGGGACATAGAAATCTGTTTGTGCATTACACACTCTGAAGGCCCCGGCAGACACGTGCTGTCTGGGAACAGACCTCGGAGAGAGGGTGTGTTCTGAGGGACAGTTAACAGGGTACCATTGGTGTTGGGACCTTTTATTACATTTGCGCTTTGAACCATGTGAAAGGGCTACCTGTGTGTGTGTGTGTGTGTGGAGGGGCGGGGGGAATGAAGCAAAACAGGAACCCAAAACCATTCATTTCACCCTGAACATTCTGTACATCTACGGCCAAAACGCAACATGCAAATGAATCTGTTTTCACTGTCGGCTCACTTAACTTTCGTCTTCCTGCACAGATACTATGTGGCTGTTCAGACTCATACAGAGGCCCATCTGTCCCCTAGGGACATGAGGTGATGTGAGGTGCCTTTCATGACCTTTTGAGAACTTCTATTCTCCTTTCGGACAAGGGCAGTTCCCCAGGGATTAGGGGTGTCCAGACTCTAGATGTGAGATTCACTCAGAAAGTGTGGGTCGGACTCACTTGGACTGTGCGCTGGTCCCCTTTCAGCAGCTCTCCCAGCACCAATAGCATACTCCTGCCACTCTTTAAAGTGATACAATTTCATCCTGTCTGTCTCACTAATGCCTTTTCCCATCTTGGCCGCAGGCTCCCTTGTGGACACTGAGGTAGGTTGACCGAGTGGTTGTGCCCCAGCCTTACTGAACTGTGGACTTACGAAGCCAGCTCTCTTGAGTTGTTTGCAGAGATGTCCCACCTAGTCTCAGTGCTCGTCATTAACCCCTTAATTAACACACTTACACCACAAAAGTCCAGATCCCTTCAAAGCTTTCTGTAGCCCAGCTAGTTTCCCTCCGGTGTCACTTTAACACAAGATTTCAATGGCACTGATTAGGTTGGGAGGTTGGGCGGTTCCTGCCATGGGCACTTTTCAGTCACCCTTTAAATGAACATGTGTCAGGGCATGCGAAGCACTCTGCCTTTCTGACCATCTCGATGTCGGCTGTGGGTAAGTCTGAGAAAGCGTGTGTCCCTTCTCCACAGACGGTGGGAAACTCCTCCTCCAATCTCACCTTGCAGCCAGGGACTGCAAGGTTGGAGTGGTCTAAAGAACACCATCTCTGACGAGATGCAGTAAGAGCCCGTAAGTGGCAGGTCATAGACTCGGAAGCCACATTCTCTACTCAGGGGGGGTGTGTCCAATGCCAAGTGGCCCAAGACCTTCCAAGGCACGAACTGGTGTCATGGAAATGAGACAGTGCATTCTAAAGACATACCACAAGAAACTTCATTATGAATGTAATGTGCAGAAACCTTGGAAGGTCGCCAGGGAGATGGCACTCTGGGCATTACAGCTCGTTTTTATCATATCTTATTTGTTTATGGTGACATGCTGAAAATAGAGTCATAGAAAATCTCCAGGTATCAGAATAATGTGATAATCTCCACCTCGCCTGGTCTCCTTGCCTAAGCCACGTGACCTGCTACATAGGCAACAGGATTCTCCAGGCAGCTGGATTTATCCAGTGTGTAAATGATGTGTGTGGATGGAAGGTGTTGCCAGAGAATGTACTGAAAGGGACCTGTGGGTGTGCCACCCTGTGGGAGACCCAAAAGGTTACAAGTGAGGAGCTATAGAATTGCAAAAACCACACCTGCCTGTGGCCTGGGCTTCCTTGAGAACCTGGATGGATATTATACAGTCTGCGGGACAAGACCTAAACACCCTTTTATATACATATATAGCTAAAGTTCTACTGAAATGAGTCATGCTCGTTCTTCAGTGTTGTGCGTGGCTACCCTCCCCCCACAAAGACAATAGGGAGTGATACAGTGAGACCATGTGATGCTCGAGGCCTTAATTATCTACTTCCTGGCCCTACCAATCAGAAAAAGTACCAGCCCAATTGGAGAGCATTGCCCTTTCACACACACACACACACACACACACACACACACACACACACACACGTTCTCTAGGACTGTCTAAGAATGGTGGAGAGGGGACAAGGGATAGCAGTTTATCCCAGTAGTTTTTCCATAGCTGTCTGGCCTCTGTACTGCAGAAAGGGAATGGGGGAGGATACTGAGAGAGCACAAGCCACTCGACCCCTGCTGTCCCCATCACACATTAGTGTAAACAGGATATCTGCTAAGCAAATGGACAGATTGCAGATGATCAAGGACAGTAGAAACAGGGAAGCCACCTGGAGCACCTGACTCCCACTCTTCTGCCCACACCGTCATCCTAGAACTGCGTCCCCATATTGCACGGTCACTGGTGGCTCTGCTGGATAGCACTGGCCACTGAGTTGGCGTTCAGCGATTAGCAACTGATACTGGCCTAGTCCTATAACTGGCAGGGGTTTGCTTCATTTATTAAAGGGCAAGCACAAACATCATCCCCACTACAACAAATGATAAGAGTGCATCCCCCACATCTGGGGAAATCACAGGGACCAGCTGAGTCAAAGTGTGATGGAAATGCACTGTCCTGGGAATGCCATCACAATCACTGGCATCTTTTCTGCCAGGTAAGTGTGGCAGGGGTTTCTCTGGAGAATGTTCATTTATGGGCTGGAAAGGGACCTTGACCACAGTAAGGGGTTGGGCATTTGTACGTACCAGTGTAGATGCCCAGCAGTGTGTAGATTAGCTGTTGGGAGGGGCGGTGGGTGACATTGGTGGCCTCTGGAGCCATCGGGCAGTCGTTGGCTCCACAGGACGTGAGCTGTCCCTGTGAGACGGGTCCTATGAAGTTGGAATCAAGAAGATGAGGTGAGAATTCTAATAGCTAGTTAGGATGCTTAAGACTTCCTAAAAATCGGCAGTGAGAGGATGGTCACCTGTGGCCAGTGACTTCGTGTCTTTTTATTTATTTTTATTTTTTTAGAAAGCGAATGGTTACATGTTAAAAACAATGTGTGGGGGTCTGGAGAGTTGGATCTGAAGATAAGGTTACTGGGTGCTCTTTCAGAGAGCCTAGGTCTGGATCCCAGCACCCACACTGTGGCACACAACTCTTGTTGTGGTAACTCTTGTGCCAGAGAATCAATTCCTTCTTTGGCACCTGAAGGCAAGCGCATGCATGTGGTGAACAGACATAGGTGCAGAAAAAAAACACCCATATCCATAAAATAAAAATAAATAAATCATATACATATATGCACATATAGATATAATGTGTGGAGAGAGAGAGGTGGTTGGTTCAGGGAGAAATATGTACACACACACACACACACACACACAGACAGACCCAAGTTGAAACTACTTTGATAGTTAGTGTTGTCAGCTTGCTGGGGTCACATAGGAGACAAGCCTTTGGGCACATCTCTTTTGTCTAGGTTCAGTTAGCCAATGGGGAGGCCATCTCATTACTCAGGGATAGAGTAGCCTGGCTGTATCTAAGCAAAGCCTATGGCCTTTCACCTGTGTTCTCCCCGTGTCCTGAAAGGAGAAAGCAGGTTTGTGAGCTTCCCATCAGCACATTGCCGGGGAGAAGCCAGACTCAGAGCCAGGATGGAGGGAAAGAAGTCATCCTAATCCAGAGCCTGTCACTTCCAGAAAACTCTTCTGTAAGAGTGAGAGACTGAAACCCCCCAGCCTGAGAGTAGCATGAAGTCCCTGCGTGGGTGGGGTTGGGGGAAAACAGACATGGAACATTCCCCCCGTCATTGGACAAGGGGTCTGAGAAATGGTTATAAACACCAGTTTATGGGTCAGTTTTATAGGAAGATGAGTCATGTAAATTCTTAGCAGCTCCAGGGACCCATATTACGTTTGCAGGAGTTTGGAAGTGCTAAGTTTTCCCATGACACCTGAAGGGACTTTCTCCAGTTGGGAAGTATGGCTCTGGCAAACCTTTCCCTTCTCCCCAATTCCCTTTGCCTTGCTGAAAATAGATTCCATTCCCAAAGCTAGCTCCCAAGGGTCTGTTCCCTTATTTGTCCACTTACTTCTCCTGAGGACTACCAAGGTCCAACTATCAAAGTATTAAAGTCCAGCAATCAAAAGCCCCCTTTGACTTACCTAATTAACATGCCCATTTAAAATTAAACACCTTGTCCTAATACAAGGTTTCCCCATTTACCTTTTTAAACTGCCATTTTCCTGTGAGACACATTTGTCTCCTCTCTATCCAGATACAGTTCTTTGTCCCATCCCCTTACTCTGAGACAAATACCCCTTTTCCTGTCTCCCTTGCTCCTATTCTCCCTTCTCCCGTGGTCCCTTCCCCTTCTCACTTTTCCTGCCTCTTGTCTTTGTCCCTTATCCCTGCCCTCTGTTCCTCCTGGGCAAATAAATCTTTGTGCTGATAGCATGGGTCTTGGGGTATCTTGAGTTGACTTAGAGCTTCCCAAAGAGCCCCCAGCCTCCACAGGGTATCTGTGGAAAGACTCATCCTTCTGACTGTCCCCAGAGGGGCAGGACCACCTGCCTCCGGAGTAAGGGCAGGTATATAGATGGAATTGGGACTTTACTTAGCTGCCATGAAGACTTGATTATTCCAAGGCCACTCGGCCTTTATGCTTTACCTTCACTGTGTGTCCGGCCAAACACCAATGAGGAAATCAGGTTGCCCCACACTCCGGATGATTGGAATATAAGAAAGAAGATGCCAAAGTACTGGTTCACCACATCCTTGCCAAGCTTTCCCACTTTCTCCGCTTGCAAATTTCCCAGGATGGTGAGGTAGGTAGACTGAGCTGACCACAGAGGGCCTGCACCCATTCCCAGCAGGATGGAGGTAGAGATCAGGGTGTACCTGCAAAAGACCGTGGAGGAAGGAATCAGGGTGTGTCCACACAGACTGGTGTGATGCCCTCTGCCCTGTTCCCAAAAGCTAAAGGTTCAGGGAATGAATTGTTGGTCCCCTTGCTGGCTGAATCTCCATGAGAATCCTCTACATTAAATTCTCTATTGCCATGAGGGGGAAAAAGATGTGTTGGGGTGTGTGTGTGTGTGTGTGTGTGTGTGTGTGTGTGTGTGTGAAAGTGAGGCCCCAGGAGAGACCCTAAGAGAGGCTCAGCTCTGAGGTCAGGAGCATGAGAGGAAGCCATACTTCTATCCCTCCACAGAAGCTCAGTGGGAGGCATTCTAACTTCTAACTTGGCAGCTGAGAACAGTGGTCTGCATGAGAGTGCAAGGCACATACACACTGGGGAGGCTAGCTAGAGGGGCTGTACCAGTTGGCGTGGAAGTTGCCCAGGCAGAAGGTCACGTAGCAGCACATGGAGCCTACAATGGTCCACTTGCAGCCACACCTCTTGATGAGGATGGGCGGAAGGAACATGGAGGACAACAGCACAGAGCTATAGAGGGTGCTGAGCGTGGCCACCCCCAGGCCATCCTCACTGTAGAGGCTGCTCTGTGGAAGAAAGACAAAACATCAGAGGAGGGGACAACTGATGGAACTGGGTCTGGTGAGAAAACAAGGTATGACTGGGTGCTGGTCCCAGGCTCAGGGCCACCTCCAAACCCTGAGCCACCATACACCAGCCTTCTTACACAAGGACACTCAGTAAAGGCAAATAACGCCAGCTTTAGCTTCCGACTACCAGAGAGAAGGCAGCTGGGGCTCAGAAATGGTCGCTTCAGCTGGACTTGGGCTTCCAGCCTTAAGACTGCGGTGGGAGCAGTTCTAGGGGGAACCTCAGAGAAGACCCACTCAGAGCGAAGACAGGATGACCACCATCCAGAGCTCTGAGCCATTATTTCAGGAATACTTGGCATAATGCTGATGTAAACCCTAAGGTCAAATTTCAAACCAGATCCACACAGCTCAAGAGCCATCTCTGGATTTTATGCTCAAAGAACCAGCAGTACACTTTATTCTTCTATCATTTGTAAGAGAAAATGAATGAGAGGAGAAAAGGAAGAAGAATGATGAAGAGAAAGAGGAGAAAGGGAAAGAGGAAGAAGTTCCAGGAAGAGGGAGAGAAGCAAGCCGAGAGAAGAAGAGGAGTGGTGAGGAGGTTGAAGGGAGGAGAGGAAGGAGGAGGAAGTGGAAGAGGAGAAGAAAAAAGATGAAGAAGGAAGAAAAGGAAGGCAAAGAGGTAGAGAGTAGCAGGAAAAGGAGGAGGAAGAGCAGGAGAGGAATAAGAAGCAGGAAAGAAAAGACAAGGAAACTTCCTCTTCCCTGCATCATGCTACCTGTCCCCTCACATGGGTCAGCTGCACCCAAGAGACACTTGTACCTTCCTCCAGTCAGTCCCTGCAATCTCTATCATCTGTTTAAAAGATGGAGTAAAGCACCTCTCTGAAGTTGGATCACCTGGGTGCCTCCTGTGTATTGATAGCTGGAAGCACGGCTCGACCTGGCCCTTTGACAGTTTTGTCCGGGGTACTTGACTCACATCCAACAGCCTGCCTGCTTTGCATCTCTAGTGAAATGCTGACTGCACTTGTCAATGTTGGGATTTCTCTACCACCCACACACCAAAGCAAACTAGGGGAGGGACATCTGTGACTGACAAACGCTACCAACTGCAGACCACTGAAAAGGAGGGCAGACGTCAAAATCTATAGCAGAGTCAGCATTTCAGAAGCTAATGACTTTTTCCACATGAAGGCCCACACTCAAGTGTCTGGGTTGGCATGTGCTAGGCAAGCTCATCTATGCAGATACATAAAAACAAGTACATGTATGTGGCACACAGTAGACCTAATCACACAAACATATATGACATTCTTTCAATCAGGCCAAGAAAAGGCTGGGAAGTACTCTCCACTAGGAGGCCACACAAAAGTCAAAGCCTCTGCCAACTTCAGTTGGTGTACACACAGGAGCTGTTAGAAACCACAGAGGAGAGAAAGAGAGAGAGAGAGAGAGAGAGAGAGAGGAAGAAAGACAAAAGAGAGCCCATTTTTACTGTCGTTACCACAGGAACAGTTGTCAAATCTTCCCCAGGCCCACATGACCTCCGCAAACCCCAGTCTCTTGAAGATGCTGCTTATTTTTCATGCAGACTCGCAGGCGAGCAGGGAGGATTCCATAAATGTTCAAAATGCAGACAACTTTGTCAAAGGTCATAGTTTTGCTTAAAGCTTTTGTAAGGTCGAATGAGGATTAACACACTTATGTTTCCATCCAACGACAAAGCCCAGGGCACATAAAATCCAGGGGCTTCCTTTGTCTCTTTTTAACCACTCAAAGGCAATGCGTCCTGCCAAACCAGCCCCTTCTCCTTCTTGCCCCAGGGTCACACACACCTGGACTGGGGAGCTCTGGAGTCACTCTGGAGGAATGTGAACAAGCCTAAATCCTGTAGGACTTCATTTGAGGAAAAAACAAAAAAAGGTCCAGGAAGTTGTGTGGGAGAGTGTACTGAGGTGAACTGGGTAACAAGACGAGAACATCTCACCTGTAGATTCTGCAGACCCCCATAGGCAAGGAAGAGGAAGAAGAATCCACAAGAAACCACCACGACATTCTTCAGGCTCCTCTCCATTATGCAGACAGAGGTGTCAGTATCAGTGGATGTCAGTGGAAGAGCAAGCTTGTTGCCCCCTAAAAGACACCAATCAGAGAGCAGGAAGTGGAGCCTCTACCAAACAGCCCCATGGATCTCTTTGAGTTAGACGTAGGTTGGCCGTTAAGGCTGTGGACAGTTCATGGGCTAGGTTTTGCAGGACTGAGTCCACATTATGCTCCCTCTCTGGGAAAAGATTGCGACTCTTATCAGCTCCTCTGTGATTTCCCCCCCATTCCTTTCAGATAGGAATGTCACATTCTTGTACACATGATAGTACCTTGTATATCCAGAGAACTTGCCACACGTGCAGAACACGGAAAATCCTTCTGTCCTAAAACAACAAAGCAAAATACATCAACTTTTAGACTCCTCATCCAACTTCTGTAAAACAGGTACTGTGGTAGGATCCAGGGCCAAAGACTTAATCGTGCGAAGACATGTGATTTCACAATGTTGCGATGATGTCTTCAGTGTTGTAGTAACTCATCCCACACAGAGACCAATTTTATATGCAGCGTTTGGAGCATAACTAATTAGCATTTGAAACCTAGGTCCCATTATAAGAGAGCAAAGCCCAGGAATTCATCCCTGAGCTGTGCTGGCTGACTCAGCCACTGCCAGTCATGTGTAGCCACTGAGTTCTTAAGATATAGCTGACTGGGGAGCTCAGTGGTCAGGAGCACCAGCTGCTCTTCCAGAGAACCCCAGTTCAATCCCCAGCACTCACATGGCAGCTCACAATTGTCTGTCTGTAACAGTTCCAAAGGATCTGATTCCCTCACACAGACATACATGCAGGCGAAACACCAATGCTCTTAAAATAAAGAGAAATAAATTTAGCCAGGCATGGTGGCACATATCTGTGATCCCAGCATTCAGGGAGGCAGAAGCAGGCAGATCTCTGTGAATTCGAGGCCTGCTTGGTCTACAAAGTGAGTCCAGGACAGCCAAAAGTACACAAAGAAACCCTATCCCTATTTCAAAAATAAAAATAAAAATAAAAATAAAAATAAATAAACAAAAATTTTAAAAAAGATATAGCTGGCACTGAATTTGGACTTCATTTAGTTAATTAACACTAACAATTCAGGTGGGCACATGCTGGACAGGCCAGGTCAGAGTGTCAAATAGCGTCCTACATGCTGTATACAAGTCAAATAAGAAACACTCATGCTGGTTTGAGGCTTGATTCACATAGACTTCCAGGTCGGCCAAGGCTACATGGTGAGACCTGCTCTCCACAAAGCACCCTTCTGCCCGTTTGTTAGGAAAGCTGACTGTTTTTTGATTGCTCCCCAGGGCCAGTGTCCTTGGTCATTTCTGCTCAGGATGGAGCAAGCAAGTGAATCTCACAGCCTTGGTAACTGACCACCACCAATAACGGAGACAAGGCTCTTGTAGCTTAGCTGGTTGTAGCTTAGACCGGCCTTGTAGAACACATGGTTTTAAATATTTACTAACCACGGGTTATTATGCCCATACAGACATGAGAGCAACACTAGACTGGCAGGATATTCTAGGAGGAGACTGCCCAGTCAGTGAAGCATTTACCTCACAAGTGTGAGGACCTGAGTCTGCTTCCCCAACCCGTGCAAAAATATCAGGCGTGTGGTGTGTGCTCACAATGCCAGGGCTTCAGAGGTGGAAAGAGTTGAGAAGAGTCCCTGGAACTCGCTGGCCAGCCGGTCTAGCCTAATTGTGAACTCCAAACCAATGAGAGAGCCCGTCTCAAAAGAGTTAGCGTGCCTCAGGATGACACTCGAAGTTGTCCAACAGCTTCTACAGGAGGCTGTGAGAGTCCAAGAGGCTCACAGTGTAGAGAGCCCTGGAACCACCCTAACCCATCATAATCCCAGCAAATATCAATAAGACAAGGCGAACTCAAGGACCATGTAAAGGAATGCAATAGTTAGCATCACATGGGCTTTTGCAAACTAACTAAATGTCTTCTTTTATAACAGTTGCCATTATCATGGTGTCTCTTCACAGCAACAGAACACTCAGGCAGGGAGGAAATGGTTTGGCTCACTTCACAACTCTCGGGTCTCACTCCATCACTGAGGGGAGTCAGGGCAGGACCGTGGAGGTAGGAGCTAAAGCAGAGGCCGCAGAGGAACACTGCTTGCTGGCTTGCTCCTTCTGTTAGCTTTCTTATCCATCTCAGGGTCAGCTTTTCCTGGTGCCACCACTACAGTGCCCTACAACTCCTGTGGAGGTGTCTTCTCAGTTACGATCCCCCTTCTCATGTGACTCTAGCTTAGGTAAAGTTAATAAACAAAACCACAGCAACCAGAACAGCACCCACACGAGGCTTGAGTAAAGCTGTGATCACTTACTGGAGAGCAAATGAAGGACCCAATACTCCGTGAGGACCTCAGGGGAGAAATATCCTTTAACCTCGGGACTCCAGGTGATGCAACTCACGAGCCATCAGGGGCCACTGTTCTGCTACTGCCAAAAGCAGGGACTTTGACCTTCACAGTCACATTAACCAGTAAACCCACCCCCAGAAGCTAAAGACCGCACCTAATTTGAGGAAAGTCTAAACAATAGCTTGCTCTTTGCGGGAAGACCTCTCGTGAGCAAGCTACTGTGAGCTTTCTTGGCATTCACAACTGAACTCTAAAAGCACCAAATAAACAGTCATTGATTCTATTAATTTTTCTTCAGGAGAATGAAACATGCATATTCCAAGAATGGGGGTTACCACTCTCTTTAGGAATTCTGGAATTCTTATGCTCCAGGTGTAAGCATACTCCATGCCTCCAACTCTTCCCACCTTTGCATCTGTTTAACTGCAGCTTTGGAAGAGTGGTCCTTAGTATTGTGTGCCTGCAACCAGAGACGACTGCCAACCCCACAGTGTGTCACAGCAATAGCCTGGCTAAGCATAACGACCTCCTGAGTGAACGGAGAGCTTGCCTGGACATGGTGTTCTCTCAGAGAGGCACGGTCAGAGCCATTCTAGCAAAGGTGTTGAACAGAGAGGTCCTTTGGCTACTTTCCACAGTTTTCCAGAGAGCCCAGACAGACCCATCTTAACAAGAGACAGTAGAAATAGCCCTCACCCTCCCACCATGGAACCCCAGGTCAGCAGAGATTGTGACCACCTGAGAATCTGGGTCTTGTTGCCTTTCAGAGGCTCTAGAGCACGCTTCCACCATTGACATTTGAGTGGCCTGGTGAGCCAGCCACTCTTGACTGTGGAGCCTGCAGAGCCACTGACCGTGGCATCCAGTCCAGCTAAGGTATGGGCACCCTGTACAGAAGGAGAAGGCCAGATCAGGCTCTGGGTCTCAGCCCTACCTTCCTGCTTATACTGCTGCTGTGCCTGGCGAACCAGAGCTCAGGGAGCCATTCATTACCCGACTCCCACTCTCTAACGCCTGACACCAGGCCCGGCTTTAGAAAACACCTGTGCACACATTTTGCAAGGTCCAAAATGCTACTGCCTACATTTTGGATAGGACTCTCACAACGTACCCATTCGGTTACACCATGTGCCCAAAGCCACTGAGTTGATGAATCTTTTTAAACTAGTGGCTGCATCATGATTTTAAACACAGGGAAAGTTGCTTCATTGTCAGAGATCCCACTAAGCCCCACAACACCTGAAGTAGCAGCATTTGTCAATAGTTGTCAAATACATGTCTGCAAAGCCCTCATGATTCTGCTATGTGTTTGTTTTTTAATCTCATTATATAATACACACTTATATGTGTATAATACATACACACATATACACATAAGTGGCTGCTGATGGGGCGGCCAGGAGCCTGTGCTCGTGGGGCCAAGTTCCAGGGGAGAAAACAGATACGAGCAAACCAACCAAGCCAATTCAGAAGTCAATCCAGCAAACTCACGTGGCTCTAAGAGCCGGACTAAAGACAGAGCAGTCAACAAAACACATTTAGGGCAGGGGGCGCACATATAAGTCAGTCTCCTCAGGGGCAGCAGAGTAAACCCCACCACCCATGGCAGCTGGGATTCATAAATGTCCCCCAGGGAAGAGTGTCTTCCATCTGGAAGGGAAAGCCTGGGTCTGCAGCATTCGCAGCTTGTCGCCTCAGTGAGGCAGGCAGCTCACTGTGTGCATGAGAGGCCAAGACCTGGACAGATGGGGGACACCCTCACGTGTGTCCGAAGCACTCAGACAGGTGCACACAAGTGGCAATTGAGCTGATGTGTCCTTTGCCTTTTTGTAATTAATCTTTCTGTCACCACAAGCAAAGCCAAGTAGCGTTAAATTATTCTGGGAAAGCTCAAAGGACGAGCCTTGCTCCCACAACATACACACACAACTATAAAGCTAGTACTCTGTCCCGTGCCGGATAAATATCACCCTGTGTCCATTTACCTAGTTTTGTGACCTACTTGCTTCCAATCGCTACATGGCAAACGGCTTCTTGGAGAGTATTAGAATGCCAATGTGGTTTCCAGGTTAAACTTTGGCACTATTCAGAATCACTGTGTCTTTAACAAAATGTGTTGGGCAACACTTGTTTTTGTATTAGCAAGTAGCAAAGCCTGTTTGTTAAGTGCTGGCAATGATCAGACTAGGAACTACAGAACCAGTCATAGGGGGAAGATTTGAGGGTAGATAGACTCCACACACAGACAGGGTAAGTACCCAATGTTATTAAGGCCAGTTATTAAGAGTCTTATTAAAGATTAGTGTCTTTAGGGCTGGAGAGATGCTCTGCCATTAAGACCATTCTCTGGGTTTGATTCCCAGAACCCACAAAGTGGCTCACAGCTGTCTGTAACTCCAGTTCTAGAGGATGCAATAACTTCTTCTAGCTTCCAGGGTACCAGGCTTGTACCAAGGTACACAGACATACATGCAGGCAAAACACCCATACACATAAAATTAACAGGAAAAAATAGTATTTGGTTTGAAATGCACAGAAAAAGCTCATTTTCAAGAAAAACATCTATGTAAATGACGCGGAAGTATATTCTAAATATACGTATCTGCAAAGCAGCACACTACACATCCAGGGTCTGTGTGTTCACATGTCTGCATACACACCCTGAGTGAGCTCATCTCCAGACAGCGGCTCAAAGGCTTAACTCATCAAGCTCTCCTGTGGGCCACTGAGTTTATGTAGGGACCTGTGGTTTGGCGGTTGCTCTTGGGTGACCAGCAAGATGAGGTCATCAACTGCCTCCTCCAAGGCAAGCAAACACACACCTGGCCGTACCTGCCCATCCCGTTTGGTCTGTCCCTCTTTGGTGGTACTGCCTAGCAGGGTCCCAAGGCTGAGATGGCCAGGTAAAGCACAGGGAGGCTGGCGCCCGCTTCAGCTGAGGAAGAAGTCAGGCTGATGATGATCCTGCTGAGAGCAGGCAGGACTGTGACTCACAAGGGCAGATTCTCTACAGGAGAGGCTGTGGGAGGGGCTGGCCTTCACACCTGGGTGTCAGCTGACAGAGCCCCCAAATGAGAAGTCCACAGGTGCTCTCAAGCAGCTGGAAAAAGTAAATCATTATGGTCCATGTTGAGTAGTTTAGAACACATCAAAGAAGCACAAGCAGGAGGTACTAGCCCTCTGCCTTCCGGAGCCAGCAGCTGGCACCTGCTGGCCTGGACACTTAGTTCATCCTACTGTTGAAGAGTTATAATCTTCAACTCCACCCACTTAGCAGGAAACAGAAAGGGATTGCAAGCCACAAGGAGATTTTGGGGTGGGGACTATGTTGGAAATACAGGAAGGATTGTTCCTTCCTGAAGAATTCAGGCAATGAGGGAGACAGGGAAATTGGTTTTAAAAGACGGTTTTATGCCCAACTAGCACACCAAACATCTTTGCTTCCTGCCCTGACTTCTGAAAAATCCAAAATGAATCTCCAGCGCTTTTATTATCAAGTGGGGAATCGAGTTTCACACACTCTGGCTATTCTGTGCCTGAACTGGGTAGGACACTGGGGTCTCAATCATGTGACTTCAAGTAAGCCAGATGTGACTTTTCTCTTACCTGGGGCTTTTAGCTTCTAGCTGGCACCAGGACAAATGTCTCTGTGGCCCAGTGAGTCAGCCTTCCCCACAGTGCACAGGCAAGTGCGAAACAGCCATCGTGAAGGGCTCAGAACAGCGCTCTCTGGGTTCTGGCAGGAGGAGAAAGTGGGTTAGAAAGGCCTGTGCGCTTATCTTGAGATATTCTTCTCCGGCTGGTATTCCAAACAGCCCTGGAGACTTGTCCCGCAGGACATCGTGGACCGGAAAGTGTGGAGCGCCAGCAGGGACTGTGCAGGGGCAAATCAGCCTAGGACTGACTGAGGAGAAGCTGCAGGCTCCAGCAAAGTAGAGGTGAGCTGAGGTTTGTTACCTCACCCCTTTGTTCCTTCAGACTTGTGAGTAAAGAACAAAACTTAAGCTAAGTGTGTGCGCGCGTGCGCCTGTGTGCGTGTCTGTGTGTGCCTGTGTGCCTGTGTGTGTGTGTCTATGTCTGTCTGTGTATCTGTGTGTATGTGTCTGTGGGGGGTTTGTCTCTGTGTTCGCCTGTTTGTCTGTGTGTTTGTGTGTGTGTGTCTGTATGTATGTGTGTTTGTACATGTGCCTGTGTGTGTTTGTGTGTGAGCGTGTGTGTCTCTGTGTGTCTGTGTGTCTGTGTATGTGCACCTGTGTGTTCGTGCGCATGCCTGTGTGTCTGTATGTGTGTCTATGTCTATGTGTATGTGTGTGTGTCTGTGGGTTTGTCTCTGCATATGCCTGTTTGGGTGTTTGGGTGTGTCTGTGTGTGTGTACACATGTCTGTGTGTCTGTCTGCACACACCTCTCTCAGTGCAGAGGATGAAGAGGATGAGCACACAGGCTTGGTTCATCACACAGGGGTCCCAGATAGTCTTCCAGCTAGCCTCTTTCTCCTGCCTTTCACCCATGCCCCCTTTTCATGGGTCAAATTTGCTCTTTTGTTGATATTTGGGAGGCCAGAAGGGCCACAGCTGGAAGGGACACCACTGTCTTGAACATCTACTGTGCTTTCACTCACTGCCAAGCTGACTTCCGTTGCACCCAGGCCCCAAGGAAATCGTAATATGCAATTGCAGGCTCTGCTCTTCAGCTTTTGTGTTGCAGGAGCAGCCTCACCACCAAATACATGCCCCACCCCACTGCTTTGAAAGTAGCAAGACATGAAGAAGAGTATGTCCAGGTCAGCAGGTGCACTGAGCCAGCTCCAGCTCCAACTCCAACTCACCCTGCGCAGCCTGTCTGCCCTCCTGCGGACTAAAGGCCTTTACAAATCTAAAGCCAGGCCCCTGACGCCCTCAGTTTTTACTCACTCTTTGCAGCCTTTGCTGCCCACAGAGGGCGCTGAGGCCAGGCACTACCGAGGCTGGCCATTCTCCTTCAGCGTTCTCCCTAACAGATCTGTCACCTGACTGGTTGGTTTTGCCTGTGATG